ACAAAGCTTTTATAAATTGGTGTACATTGCATATATATTGCAGGTATGTTGTTAAGTTGTGAGGTTCATCTAAAGGTCAGCTTTGGTTCAGGGCCTCACTGCTCAGGCCCTAGTATTTCAGGCAGGTGCTGTCTGCTGCTGGAGGCACGAATGCCACACTCCTTCCAGCCAGCCCCACATGTCACGGTCTGCCTGGAGCAAAGCTCTGCAGCAGCAGTAGCTGCAGTGCCGCATCTTCATCTACCCCTAGAAGTGTGGGTGCTTTCCACTCACCACAAAAGAGGAATTTTAGTCTTGGCATCCCAGTCTGGTGCAGTGTGTGGAATTTTTTGATTAACTCACTTACCTGCAATTTCAAAAAAACTTTTTTTTTCCCCTAAGCTGCTCTGTATGAGCCAAAGGCTATATTCTGAGCTGACAGGAGGAATTGGCATAGTCCTGTGAATCTGATGCCTCCCAGCAGCTAAGACTGTGAAAGCTGATGCTGAAAATACTCTTAACATCTATTAATGTGTTTTACAGACTAATCTGGTGGCTTCTGGTGCTAATGAGTCAGAAATCTATATCTGGGATTTGAACAATTTTGCCACACCAATGACACCAGGAGCGAAGACACAGGTACCAGATTTGTATTTGTTAAATACTGCAGAGCAGGCTGATGAAAAATACGCACATCACTTAAGTTGGGAGCTCATTGAAACCTACAGTTTTAAAGCTGTCTCAAGGGGAAAAAGAAATAATAAAAGCCTTTTGAAGTCTAACCTGGGTCGCAGGGTAGTAGTAGCAGGTTGTAGTTAGCCATGAGCTGCATTTCTGGCGATGTTAGATACAGTCCTTAAGGGCTGGGACAACAGCTCTGTCCATATAAAAATAAAGAAAAATACATTCCTGCATGTTGTTCTCTGGTGGCTTTCCTGAAGGCTGACAAAAATAGACCTTCTGTTGGTACTTAATTTTTTGTGATGATTTTATTAGACTGTGGGGTTTCAGATATTTTTCTCCGTGCAACATGCCTGTATCTCAAAGCATACAGCAGGAGCCCACATCCCTAAAGGACAGTTCTCTCTGAGTGGCAGCATAGGTAGCTTTCAGTGAGTGCTTTTGGAAGGAATTCAGTCTTGACAGCACTCTTCTGCCACACTTTATGTCTAGCTGTGGTTTTGGGTTTTTTTTTTTTTTTGCCTTGCTCCATACAAGGGTCATTGGATGCTGCTGCTTTTCTGGCCCCTGGAGTGCAGTCTCCTGGCTCTGCCTGTAAGTGCAAGCATGCACAGGTCCACGAGGTGACTTGTTTGCTCTGCTTTCCGTGCAGCAACCCTGGATGTGCAGTCCTGTTTATCCACAAAAGATCTGCAGTTTTGGCTGGCTGCACAAGCAGTTGATTCCTGTCTTCATGCGGTGGGATTTTATTTTTTGAAAAATTTTATTTGGCTAGGGAAAGTTGAAGTAGCCCCTTAGTCTTTGAGAAACATTGCATTTTATGAAGCAACAAGTAAGAACAAGCCGAATCTCTCACTGTGCCTGTGAATCTGAAGATGGTGAAGGTACAAATTGAGGAAAATAGGGAGATAAAAAGCAGCTACTGAGAAGTCAGAAGATGAGGAAATAGGTTTGTCAGTTACTTTGTGGGTTTCAACGAGTGTTTAATTGCTATGTTTAGGGGCTGGTGTTTAGCCTGTGTCTCTTGAAGAAGAGTTATGGGGAAAAACAAAATCCTTTGTGCCTTTGAAGGAGACAGAAGAATGGGAGGAAGTTGTTTCAATGTGTGTATGTTTCTCTAGCTGTTACAAAATTGCACAAGAAGCTTGTTACTGGAAAATGGATTTATTACACCATGATAATTTGAAGACAAAGTGAGGAAATGGGATGAGAAGTAATCTTCAGTTTAAAGATTTTTAGTTTAAGGCTCTGTGGTTTTGGATACCTTGTTTAGTCTCAGTCGTTTATTATCACATGGGCATTTTGGAAGATGCTTACCTTAAAGATCCCTGTCTTTTTTTTTTTATGTCTAATAGTAATTGTTTAGGCTGGGAAACCTAGTCCATATGCTCAGCGACACCTGGAAATAATAGTACAACAAGGACTGGGTTAACATTGCTTTTAATTCTTGACAAAAATAAGCTGTTGGGCCGCAGTGGGAATAAAAAAAAAGGGCAGTTCATATTCCTGGATGTACTTGGAGTAGTTCTCTGTTCTTGAAGGCAGTTGTGTTTAGTCTTCTTTAGACTAATGTATCAGATTGTAAAGCAGAAAATGCAAATATTAGAGAAATACTAGCAGCTCATAAATCAGGGTTTTCAGGTGTTCACTCCTATAGTGTGTGTCTGGAGGAAGCAGAACATGCACAGTACCCAGAGTGAGCCTCCTTTCAGATTTGTCATTTAGCAAGGCCTGGAAAGAACAGGTTTGGGTCTGCTATTTGGAAAGGTTGTGATGGGCTGTTGTGTGTGTGCAGCAGCCTCTCGAGGACATCAGCTGCATCGCATGGAACAGGCAAGTCCAGCACATCCTGGCATCCAGCAGCCCTAGCGGCCGAGCTACCGTGTGGGATCTCAGGAAGAACGAACCCATCATCAAAGTCAGCGACCACAACAACCGGGTGAGTTGGCTCTCGCACAGCCGCGTGGGTGCTTGTGGAGAGGTATGGAGGGCCTCTTGGTGTGTGGGGTGCAGGTCATAGCACCCCTTCTTATGTAGAATCCCAGAATGGTTTGGGTTGGAAAGGACCTTAAAGCTCATTGAATTCCAACCCCCTGCCCTGGGCAGGGACACCCTCCAGTAGCCCAGGTTGCTCAAAGCCTCATCCAGCCTGGCCTTGAACCCCTCCAAATATCCCCTCTTTCAGTTTATAACCATTACCCCTCATCCTCTCACTACACTCCCTGATAAAAAGTGTTTCCCCATCTCTCCTGTAGCCCCCTTTCAGCACTGGAAGCTGCTCTAAGGTCTCCCCGGAGCCTTCTCTTCTCCAGGCTGCACACCCCCAACTCTCTCAGCCTGTCCTCATAGGGGAGCTGCCCCAGCCTCGGACCAATTTCGTGGCCTCCTCTGGACTCACTCCAACATGACATGCAGATACTGGTGCCTGCCCCAGTTTGATATGACATGCTGGATAGCTAATGGGTTTTCTTTAAGGCTGTGTATATGCAGAGGGATTGTCAGCATTTTAAACCAAAATAGGCAAGCGCATGTTGAAGTGAGGCACGGCACTCAGATTTCTGAATGGGGTAATAACTTTGTTTGGAGAAAGCTATGACTGGTGTGTTGGGGCTACCACAGAAAGATTTTATTCAGCTAGTCAGAAATGGCATGTTGTAGCAGTGCTGGAGAGATGAGGTTGCAGCTGGTGTGTTCTGGGTGAGCACGTTGAATTTAGCAGAGCAGGTAACGTGTCTTTGTGCTCAGTTATGGAGGGCTTCCTCCTTGGCATCACAGGTAGGATGATTATGAGGGCTGAGCACTGGCAGGACACTGATGGAGCCAAAGCCTGTGCTTCTGCTTGTCTGGATGTGGAAATGGGAGCAGGCAGCAGCTGAGCTTGGCAAGGGCAGGCTCTGCTGGGGAGCACCACAGAGGAGTGTTGCCATTGAGTGGGTTGCCAGGGGCACTGCCTTCTATAACTACAACCAGCACACTTGCTCCTCAGTCAGTGTAAATGCAAAAAAGAGCCTGCTGA